GGCAACCAATCAATGTATCTCTCTCACATCAATGTTTCTCTCTCTCCCCCTTCCACTCTCTCTGAAAAGCAATGGAAAGAAATATCCTCAGGTGAGATTTAAAAAAATAATAATAAAGGCAGTGTTTGTACTTCAACTATGTTTTCAAACTTCCAGTAGCATTTCAGGATGAATTTCCTTTGTTCAAAGCTTAGTCTGGCTGAAAAGAAACATCAGTTGAGCTATCAGCTGTTAAAAGTGTGTAAACATGTTTTTGGGACACCCTATATAAAGAGCTCTCAAAAACCAATAAAAATATGAACAGGTTAATAACAAGGACCCAAAGATATATTTGAATATGGATTAGATATTAGATGATATTAAGGAATTCTGTTTTTTCGTTGGACCTGATACTTATATTGTAGTTATGTATGAGAATGTCCTTATTTTTCCAAGATGCATGCTGAAGTATTTAGAAATGTTACAATGTATAAAATATTCTTTTTTAAGTGTTTAGCCCAAAAAACATTGTGTGTGTTGATGGCAGATAAAGTAACTATGCCAAGCCTGGTTGAGGTGGCTCAGCGGTTAAGCATCGACCTGTGATCAAGAAGATCGCAGTGTGATTCCCAGTCAGGGCACATGCCCGGGTTGTGGACTCATTCCCCAGCAGGAGTTGTGCAGGAGGTAGCTGATCAATGACTCTCTCTAATCATTGATGTTTCTCTCTCTCTCCCCCCACTTCCCTTACTTTTTCTGAAACCAATAAAGATATATTTTTTAAAAAAAGTAATTATGCCCAAATGTTGACAATTACTGAATCTAGGTGGCAGATGTAAAGGCATTTATTTTACTGTCCTTTACCCCTTTCTGTATGTTTAAAGTTTTTTTATTTAAAAATTATATTTTAAAAAAGACAAAAGAGAAACGATATAAATAAAAGGACAAAATACAAATGTCTAATGCACACAAAAAATTTCAAAGACATGGAAATTAAAACAAAACGCCATTTTATTTATATGGCTCATGTTGGCAAACATGAAAAAGATATAATTTGCAGTGTTAGCATGTCACACAGGCAGTTTAAATTGGTGTAATTTCCTGGAGGACAGATTGGCAACGGTATAAAATATGCCCTAAAGCTCTGGCCAGTGTAGCTCTGTTGGCTGGGCATCGTCCAGTGCCCCAAAAGGTTGCTGGTTTGATCCCCAGTGTTGGGCTTGATCCCTTGTAGGGGGCTGCAAAAGGCAGCTGATCAATGTTACATTTTCACATCAATGTTTCTCTCTGTCTCTCTCACACACACTCACTCACACACACTCACTCACTCTCTCTCTCTTTCTTGCCCTTGCCCTTCCTTTCTCCCTAAAAATCAATAAACTATTAAAAAAAGAAAGTTATAAAAAGTGCCCCATGTATACATTTTTAAACCCAGTTTCCTTTTGAAATTTTATCCTTAAGAAATAATTGGTTAAATGAGCAAAGATGTATATCTAAGGATATTCGTCTCTCTGTTGCTTATAGTGTTTTTAAAAATTGAGAGTAACCTAAAAGTTCAAATATAAGGGATTGGTTAGATAACTTGATGGCTCATCTATGGACAGCACAACTACACTGCCATTAAACATGATGACCTAGATATTTTTATTAATATTTTTCAGATGGTGAAAATGTATTAAGTGAGAAAAGCAGGTTATAGAACCATACACAGAGTTTGTCTTCTCCACCAGACTGGAATATGCACAATAATGGGAAACTGTGACTGATAAATTTGCTTACTATTTGTCCCCAGCCCTTCCTTAGCACAGTGCCTAGCATATAGTAGATGAATAATAAATATTTGTTGGAAGGAGGGAGGGAG